TTGAGATCATCTCTTCTTCCCCTCTCCCCACGTCTGCCCTGCTCCGGGCTCTGTCCGTACTCACAGCTCTCACCACCCCCAGCACCCAGACAGAGGCACAGTGCTGAATGTGCTAAATTAGGCCATTAGAGAAATTCATTTCTCTTTATTAGTCTGTGTCAAATCCTTTTTATTAGTGGCTGGAAACGACCTCTCTTCTGCAGTAAAATGTCATGCCAGTTCACTCCTTTTATTTGTTCTGCACTGACGAGGCTCAAACTCTCACTGAATTAGTGCAGTGAGATTTATTTCCTCCAAATTTTGAACGGCTTAAGAGAGATTGGGGTGGAGGGGGCAGTCAGGCGGGAGGCGACAGGGGGAGAAGAGTGGAGAAAGATCTGGGAGGGAGAAGGTGAGCTCTTATGGAGGTCAAATGTCCCCCGCTCTTTGGAAATAAAGTCTAACGGCCATCTTTCATATCTGGGCACTGGGGACTGAGTTTCCACATTCCTGCTTCTAGCCTCTGAAGGGTATTGATTCACAATGGGACAAATCTGGACAGCAGGAAAAGGAACTCCTTAAAACCCACTGTAGCTGGACAAACGAAAGCTCAGGGTACGCCAAGGATAAAGAAGCAAATCCCACACCTACCTGGAAATTCTTCTTCCCATCCCTTGCCTGGTTCAGACAGGCCCATTCATATCCCTGGTGGCTAAGATGCCCAGCTCCCATGGTCCCTGCCCTATTCACTCCACCCTACCCCAAGCCTGTAGCAGTGGCTTCCGGCCTCATCGCCAGCCTTCTGGGGTGATGTTGGAGGGTAGCTTAGAAATACAGGTCAACCCATAGGCCGGGCAGCTGGGGAAGGGGCTGGGACTGGGCTGCAGAGGAGCGCGTAGCATGACTGAAGCCTAGAACCCAGCCAGCTTGTTGGGAAACAGCCTGTTTCTTGGGGGGGGGGGCGGGCAGAGTGTCTCAAGGGTACCCCCCCCACATGGCAGTCTGGGTTTATCGAGGGATCCAGGCGGCTAGAACATGGGAGCCACAGGCAGCCCACTGACCCTGGCTAACATTTGTACAAAAGCTGTGGGCAATCTCGGGTGCCATCTGAGCCCCTGGGCTCAGGGATCCAGGGATCAGAGTGGGCAGAAGCAGGAACCTGGGGAGCGTGGTATCTGAGAAGAGAGATTTGGGAGCTGATAGTGTGGCCCCAGTGGGGAGGGGCTGGAGAGAGGGGGCCATGCCAGCATCCACGAGAGTTCTGCTCTGTGCTCTAGGGGCCCCTGGTTAAATTGGGGGCGGGGGGAGGTGGCAATAGAAAGTATGTTTCTTTCTTCTGAGAGATAGCAGAAGCCATAGAAAACACCCCAGCTATGCCCTCACACATGGACACACACACACACATACACACAAACACACACACACACACGTTCTGGGGAGATCTGACACCTGGAAGTGAGAAGTTTATAAAAAGGGCCCATGCTGCGGCTCTGCATAGAAGGTGCACATTGTTCCCCAGTGTGTGTGACAATGTCCCCATCCTTCCTCACCCTCCCGCCTCTGATCTAACACCTGCTTCTCTCTTCAACCTCATCTCCCTCCATTCCCATCCTGCCTACCTCGCTCCACACACACTCATCTGGATTTTGTTCTAGAAACAAGTCAAGCTCATTCCTATCTTAAATGCTTTGCTTTTTTTTCCTGTTTGGAACGCCCCTCCCTCAGATCTCTGCCTGACTGCCTCCTCATCATTTGAAGCTTAACTTAAATGTCACCTCCTCAGAGAGGCCCTCCCTGACTACTCTCTGCGCTGCAGGGGCAAGGACAGTGGCAAAGAAGACCACTCCCCCGCTTACCTGAACTCTATTGCTGGGAGACCCCATCCCTCTTCCCCGCCCCACATGGCATCCATGCTGTGTACACAGAACCCGCAAACCCCTCACACATACTGCATACAAATAACACGTAACGCATGCACACACACTGCATACAATATAGGGCATATGCACACTGCACTCACAGCACGCAAAATCCGCACCCGGCTTTCGTACCCACAACCCATATGCACCTGCATCCTGCATAGACACATTGTGCACGCGCACAAAACCAACACACGGGACAGGATGCTTGGATAACACTCACACCTGCTCTCGTCGACAGCCCACATTCAAGCCAGGTGCACACGCGTGCACACTCATGCACACACAGAGGCCATCCCCTCCCCCTGCAGCCGCTGCCCACCCTCCCTGCAACCAGGGAGAAAGGAGCGTGCGGTGACCGGCGGCTACTGTGGGGCTGGGGTGGGGGCTGCACCCCCACCACCTGGCACGATGCTGCGGATTATTAGTTCCTGGTAATTTAGTGCCCTTGTACAGAGTCGATTTGTGCCTTTCATTCCTAATTGATCTAGTGGCTGTTTAAATGGCAGCAGGCATCTGTTGAGAGTAGGAAGGTTCATAAGGCGCAATAATTCATAACACCGTCTGGAATTTGCCTTTCATGTCCCTCAGCTAAACCACTGCAGGGCTCTGCTTAAATTACAGCCATTGAGGCTTTCTTTGGTATTCCACTCAGGGCCAGGAGAATCTTGCATTAAACTGGGATCAGGTTAGATTAGACTATAATATGCTATGGTATTAGTGCCTGCAAATGAAGACTTACGCTGGAGTTTAACCCCCACACCTGGTTTTCTCTTTGTCTTCAGCCGGCTGGGTAAGGGAAACCCATTGTTTGCCCTACCAGCTTCCTTCCAGAGCCGAATGGATCTTCTAGCCATGGGGGGCTGCCCATGTGCCGGCCTCACACATTGACCTTTTTCCCTCTCCAGACTGTAACCTAGGCTGCAGCCTGGGGGTCCCACTGTTCATGCAACAACTCCCAAAACAAGGGTCGGGAGATGGTGTCCAGGGGCACCAAGTGGCTCATCCGAAGCAGGAACGTATCTCTCCTCATCCGCTACTGCCCCTGAGCCTGAGTAGAATGCCCAGTAGGTGTAGGTGTGAGTGTGGATGGAACTGAGTACCTTCTGTCTTTTTGCCCAGAATTATTAGAATCCCAGCATGGGACAGGCTGTTAAGGGTTCCCTCATCTACATACAAACACTGTGTAGGCTGGATAGTCAGTCTTCCTCTTGCTGTGTTCGTAGCATACTGGAAGGGAAAACGCATGGTCTGTTTGCCTTTTCAAGACTCACTGCGTTCTCCAATATGGTAGCCGTTAGCCACATGCGGCTATTTACATTAAAATTAGTTAAAATTAAATAAATTTAAAATTCAGTGTTGCAGGCACCACAGTCCTATTTCAAGTGTTCCTTGGCCTCCTGTAGTTAGTGGCTACCATACTGGACAGAGGAGATTGTAGAACATTTCCATCATTGCAGAAAGCTCTGTCAGACCATGCTGGCTAGAACATGCCTATTGGCAGAGGCCTGAGAGCCAGGCCCGACATACAAACTTCCTCCTCTCCCAGCAAGCAGGGCTTAATCAAAAAGAAAAGGGCTGAATTGTGTGTTCCCAAGGGACCGAGGAGAGCCCAGAGAGGGATGGGCAGATGCTCTTTTGGAATCTCAGTGGAAGGGAATGGAGCTGCAGGTCCAGGGTCAACAATCTGTGCAAACACATGCACCCATGCTGGATGCTAAGACCTCATTGTTCACACGTGCTGAGGAGAAATAAGAACGATGTGCACTTATAAGTGCAAATAGACACACACATATAATATGCAATAAATATTTCATGGGATCCACATACCTCTTCCAGACTCTGGACACAGTGAAGAGTAAGGTGGGCTTGGCTCTTGCCGTCATCTAGCTCACAGTCTAGTGAGGAAGGCCAATAATAAAACAAACAGTGGGGCGCCTGGGTGGCTCAGTTGGTTAAGTGACTGCCTTCGGCTCAGGTCATGATCTTGGAGTCCCGGGATCGAGTCCCGCATTGGGCTCCTTGCTCGGCAGAGAGTCTGCTTCTCCCTCTGACCCTACCCCCTCTCATGTGCTCTCTCTCTCTCTCTCTCTCATTCTCTCTCAAATAAATAAATAAAATCTTTAAAAAAAAAAATAAAACAAACAGCTCAGAGAGCCATCAGCAGAGGCTAGGGGCAGGGGAGTGAAGGAAGCTTCCCAGACTTGGTGATATCTAATCGAGGATCCCTAGGGTTAATCAGGCACTGAAGTAGGCACTCCGGCTTACATAATGCATCCTGGAACGACACCCACATGCTCACACATGCTCACACTCACGCTGTCTTCATTTGCTGATTCATCATCCGCCACCAAACATTTAGTAAGTGCCTGCTATGAGCATGCAGGGCAACATCCTAAGGATACAGTGATCATTAAAACGGGGACAATCTTGGAAGAGAACGGTGATGCTGATAATCATTGAGTCACGGTTGTGCTAAGTGTGCACTGATAGAAAGGTGCAGGGAGATGTCATACGTGTAACTGGGGTGTGTGACCTAAACTGAGTCAGCCAGTAGACGCAGGACAGGTGGAGACACCTGCCCGCCGTGTGTGGACGTGTGTGCGAGCTCACACACATCCCTCTGTGCACGATGGTAGACACACACTTGTGCACACCTGCTGCCCTCAGCCGGCTCCAGACGGCCAAGAATGAGTCTGTGACCCACCACTACTGCTCACATCCAGGGCTTTTCTGGACACTTCCTATATGTCCTTCCCAGGTTAACCTTAAACCAGAAATGGACACATTTCTGTGAAGGCTTATACCCCTCATCTCTCACCAGATATCCACGCAGCTTATCTGACCAAACAGAAAAGTTAGGCACCCAGAGGGGAGGAATAGAGCCCTCTAAGGGTCCAGAAACCAGGACACTGGATCCTCCATGCCAGGGCATGAGGTGCTGCCACCCAGGCTGGCGTGGGGACTGGGGATGTTCTCAAGAAGCAGGACCTTGGGAGAAGAACTGACGGGAGTGCGGGAAAGGGGCCCTGGTGGCTTCTGAGCCCAGCCAGCAGCAGGTCTCTGTGTGTGCGCATGTATGAGCTCTTGATGTCCCCACAGGCACCCTCTTTTCCCGCTCCTGACGCTGCTGTTTGAGAAATGTGAACAGGCCACCCAGGGCTCAGAGTGCATCACCTCTGCCAGCTTTGATGTGGACATCGAGAACTTTGTCCACCAGCAGGAACAGGAGCACAAACCCTTCTTCAGCGATGACCCAGAACTGGACAATCTGGTAAAGACCCTCCGACCCCCACCCTGGCTAGGGTCTTCCTAACCTCTGATCCTTCCACAAGCCCTAGAAATGATCCTTTTATTCATTCCATTCATTCAACAGAAACTGTGAGGTGCCCACTATGGGCTAGGCCCTAGATGCACCCATTCTAGCAGTTGAGAACCATTGCAGGTTCCTTAAACCAAGGGTTGCATGCCCAGGTTTTGCTGCCAATGGCCTTCTGTTCTCTGCTCACTGCGGCACCTACATCCTGCATCCCAATACCCTGCCCCCCACCCCACTTGCGGTGCAGAGAGGAGGGAAGGAGGGGCAAAGGAGCCAGAAGGCGTGGAATAGCTGCTCTGAGGCCCGGAGTCCTGGTGTGTTAATAAATAATGTCTTAGGCTGCTCAGTGAGGACCTGACGGCTGGCGCGCTCCAGTGTGGAGGATGAGGGCAACAGGCATATTCAAACACATCAATAGAGAAAATGACCTGGAGACACAGGCGTGTTGAGAAGGCCAATAGATGTCCTGCCCATCTCGGGGGGACACAGACCAGGCTCCTAAACCCAATTTATCATCCAGATCATCACTACAGGTTTTCTAAAATACACATTCCTGGGCCCCACCACCTGGGCAGAGTGATTCCGTAAGTTTGGTGGGCCCTGTGAATCTACATTTTTAAGTTTCCCAGGCAATTGCAATCATCAATAAGATTTGATAACCGCTATCATAGGTAACATCTGAAATTCTCTGCTGACCCTGGGAATTCTGCTGAGAGAGAAACAGAGCAGCCGCTCTATTCATTCATCACGATATACAGTTATCCCAGAATTATTAATTATTAACCACAATTTTTTATTTTTCTGTGGGTAGATTACCTAGACCATGCATGGTGAATTTGAAAACTCTGCAAAACTCTCCTCCATAAATTGATTATAGTGCTGACCTCCCATAGTCAGAGTTTAGCTGATACCTGCTCCCAGAAGGGAAGTAGAATTAGAAAAGCAAATGTGACACCAAAAACAACGGAAGAAAATGTGCACACACACGCGTGCCCACGCACACGCACACGCTCAGAGCACCTACAGAACAGATCCCAGTGACTTACGTATTATTCTGTGCTGTGAATTATGCACCCCACTGCTTCTCTCAAGAGTTGAACGTGATATTTTATGGAGTCCAGAAGAGCTGCCAGGAGAGCCCAGGCTGGCCTGGAAATTGGTGAGGTGTGAGAGGGGGGCTGGCGGTTCGAGAGAGGGAAGCACGGGCCGGCCGTCAGCGTTGTTAGCATGGGTACCTGCGGGCCCTGGGTCGGCTCTGCTCATCCCTGGCCCTCCCTCTCCCCTGGCTGGGATGGGGCAGCCACACTGCCCGGGAGCCCAGCCCACTGTCCGGTTCCCTGCAGGCTGGTCCGGCCCCACCCTGTTAGTCAGCGGGTCACCATCTCAGGACCGCCACTGTGACGTAGGCCTTGCGATTCAGCCCTGCAGCAGCCACGGAGATAGGAGAGGAGGCAGCTATTTCTCAGCAGGGTGGGGCTGCAATGGGGCCGGCAGAGCCGCAACCCACTCCTGTCCCATGACACAAAAAGAAGCGGAGGCCCAAGTTGGTAGAAGGTGCCTCAGATCAGGCTGAGTCATGGGAAAGAACTGAAACCTTTTTAGGAAGCAGGAGTCCTGGGGCAGCAAACCTCACCCGCCTCGCCCGCCACTACCTGCCAGGTGAAGCGCTCACAGACACCCTGAGAACAGCCTCCCTTTCTAGGATAACCTGGAATTTACCAAAAAGTGGCCACAGCTCTGTGCTCTCCTCTTGCTAACACCACCTGGGTCTCCCGGGGTTTTGTTCCCTCAAAGAATCCGATCTCTTGATTCTGCCCAGCAGAACTTGGTTAAATGTCTTGCCCCAGTGGCCCCAGCCCTCTGGTGTTCCCAGGTCTTCTATCCCAGGTGACCGGGCTGGGAATGGTCCAGTGGGCGGAACGGTCCTCAGACACCGCGTCCACCCACGTGGACCTGATTTACTTAGAGGTCTTGGCCACAGTCAGTGGCTTGGCCGACCGGTCGGGGGTTTGAATAGAGAGTTGAAGGAGCTCTTGGAGACGGAGGACCTGAGCCTGGCTTCACGGCTTAGCCCGTGTGCAACTTGAAGATGTAACCCCTCTGAAGCTCGGTTTCCTCGTCTGTAGAGCTAACACACCTCTCTCGGGTGACGGCAATAAAAAAAAATTAACAAGATGGCATGTGGCACGAAATGTCCTTTAAAAATGCGTGGCATCCGGAAGGTTAATCTCAAATGCAGTATCGCTAAGGTAAGGAGGTCCGCCTTCCCAGCATCTCCTCCAGGCCCTCGAAGAGACTGTGGGGCGGAGACACTGCAACTTTATTTGCGGGGTCAAGCAGTGCCCTTTGCCACCCCATTTGTAGTCCTGTGTGGGGAGGGGCGGCTGGAGAGGCCAACGACAGGAACCGTCATTAGAACAAGAATCATGTAGCCAGCACAGCCGAGATGCACATAATTAGAAATTAGAAAAAGGTCAGATCGCGTCATTATCAGCTCAATCAGCTGCTGAGTGCCACAGCCAGTTAATTTGGCATCTGTATTTTTTACAACCCCGCACACGTAGCCCAACGGACTGTAACTCTTTATCCGGACAGATATACTGCACAGTGGAGCAGGGACATAAAATGAGAGACCCCAAGCAAATGAGCTGAGATAATTGAGAGATTTATTTTTTATATATATGTGTGTCAGGGCGGCTTTCCTTTGCCCTTGAATGTTGACTTTCACAGATGGGATTGTCAGGAGGACATGGGGGTCCCCCAAAACTTTGTCCCACCCTGGCCCACACTCTGATCCTGCTTTCTCCCGAGCCCAGAGAGCCCATAGGACCCAGCCGTGGCAGGCCAACCATTTGGCGTACATGCCCCCACCTCCAGCTGCCCGTCCTCCATTCCTCCATTACTCCAAGCAAACTGCCTTGCTGAGCCATCCCTTCCCCTGCTCCCAGCAGTCTCCCAGACAAGTTCCCATGGGAACCGCTGATCGTGCTCTCCCAGAGCTGCCCAAAGGTCAAAGAGGTTCCCAGATCACAGGCTTCTGGGGGAACTTCCCTCCCCTGGCTAGCCGCCTCTCCCACAGCACTGATGCCCAAAGAGAGACTCAGTCACGAAACGCTAAGGGAAGAGCACAACCACGGGGAGAAGCCAGTCCAGCCCATCCGACTACCCATTTTATAGATGGGGACACTGAAGTCCAGAGGAGGGAAAGGAGTCATTAGGACCAGAACCCAGGTCTGCCTGCTCCCAAGACCCTGCTCCTTCCAGGGTCTCCTCACCTCTCTTCTTCCTGGGGGCAGTAAAGCCCTCATTTATAAATGCCACCAGCATCTCCATGCCCCTACCACCCCTCCCCCCACCCATCCCCTGGCACCCACTCTCTAACCTTCTCTACCTCCCTATTTCAGGACTATGGGGGTGGCTTGTCACCCCCATGGTGGCTAAGCTGGTATGCCCCCCGCTGAGCTCCTTGGGGGGGATACCCTCCCCCCACCCAGTCCCCACACTCAACCAGGGCTCACCAGGCCCATTTCTCACCTGGCCCACTGATCCCCTGCTTGGACCTAGCAGCCTCTGACTGGCAGTTGGTAAAGTTTGTAAAATTTGCAAGTTCCCCAAACCCCTTTGAAAGGTAAAAGCTTTTTGTTTTATAAAATCTGATTTACGGGCCCCCAGTGCAGTGCCGAGGTTTTATATATTATGCAAGATTTCAAACCGAGGCTGTAAAACGTACGGTTTCAGTTTCATGCATGGAATTTTTTATGTGTAAATTTTTTAACATTTATGGGGCACGTTTTAATGAGACTCTGGTGTGGCTCGAGGGACAGATTATGGCTGCCTGACTGCAAAGCCAGCTCCAAAATGGGGCCCCCCAGGCCCCTGAGCCCACTCTAAGGAGGCAGGGCCAGAGGCCGGAGGCTGTGAATAAGGAGGCACATGAAGGAGCCAGGCCAGAGCTCTGGGCCCACAGAGACCCCCGGCGGCCCCGATCAGAGTCGTTCACTTCAGCCTGCAGCCTGACTCTCTTCACCGACATAGGAGCAGAAAATCTTACCAACACTAAGCTAGGGAAAGCAAGTCTAATCAAAGCTAGTCGTGATTAACATTTATAGAGCACTTACTAGGTGCCAGGTGCTGTTGTAAACACCTTACATAATATTATCTTATTTAATCCTCTCTTCAAACCCACAAGTTATGTGCGTATTATGTGTATTATTATCCCCATTTTTTTTGTTTTAAACATTTTTTTAAATTTTTTACTGTTATGTTAATCACCGTACATTACATCATTAGTTTTAGATGTAGTGTTCCATGATTCATCGTTTGTGCACAACACCCAGTGCTCCATGCAGAATGTGCCCTCCTCAATACCCACCACCAGGCTAACCCATCCTCCCACCCCCCTCCCCTCTAGAACCCCCAGTTTGTTTTTCAGAGTCCATCATCTCCCATGGTTCGTCTCCCCCTCCGATTCCTCCCCCTTCATTCTTCCCCTCCTGCTGTCTTCTTCTTCTTTTTTTTTTCTTTACATATATTGCATTGTTTCAGAGGTACAGATCTGAGATTCAACAGTCTTGCGCAATTCACCGCGCTTATTATCCCCATTTTAAAATGAGGAGATCGAGGCGCAAGGTGAAATCACTGAGGTTCAAGATCGCACAGCTAGTCCGAGGCAGGGGTGCGAGTCAGATACTGCGCAGTCTGGAACTCCGGCACCCACACTCTTAGCCGCCGTGCTGACCTATAGCCACTGGTCTCCTAGGGCTTTCTGTGTACCAGCTCTTGTTTTTAGTTCTTTCTAGATGCATCTCATCTAATCCTCAGTACAACGCTGAGGGACTCACTACTATTATCCCATTTTACAGGAAAAATGGGGAAAGTAAAGTGCAGAGATTAAGTAAATTGTTCAGAATTTCTCACTGGATGGAAGACCCAAGACTCAGCCTCCAAAACCCATC